ATAAAGGGGATGATTATCCTAATCCTATAATGATTAGGATAACTACAACATATGGATAAATACAAGGGAGGATAATGACAAGTCTTGGCCGCCTGGTATGGATAAGGATAAGGTGCTTGTCGCCTGGTCTTGGACTGAAGTGAGACTGATGTGGTCTGGTCCATTTCCGGATATGTCCCAACCATCATTTCTCAACAGAATCGAATTAAAGCGAAATTATAATTTGAACAAGTTGACCTTTTTTGTATAGATGGACGTAACATTAGGCAGTAGGCGCATTTTGCAATAAGCCTAATGTGGAGAGCGTAATTTAAAAATTACCGACTTTTCTGAAAATCTCGGTTATTTGACAACGGAACTGAACACCCAAAAAAAATAATCGGGGGCGTTCCGAGAATCGAACTCGGGACCTCTCGCACCCAAAGCGAGAATCATACCACTAGACCAAACGCCCTTGTGGTGTAAACGGCTGTGCTTTTAATTATTGTCTTCTAAATAATCCGTATCTGGGTTGTTAACGGGCCTTACAACAGTTACGAAAGAAGAAGTCACATGCGGATCACGTGGTGTCTTTGTTCTTCTTCTGGAGAAGAGTTACTGTACATAAAAAGATCCCTAAAGCTTACTGAGAGTATTGCATCATTCATTTTCCATTAACCCTCCAATTTTCCCGCCTTTGTCTCACTCTCTTCCCGCCATGGTTCAGAAGAAGCTATCCGCCGCCGGTCCAGGCCCCGAGCCCAAGAAGCGCCGCCGTGTCGGATTCTCTCCCGCCGGTAAGTAATTTCTTCTCCTATTCCAATTGTTTTACCACTTTCGTAGCTCCTCCGCTTTATCGTTTTTTCTTAAATTCTAATCTGTTATTTTATTCCTAACAGATACTGGTGTGGAGGCTAACGAGTGCATCAAAATTTATCTAGGTACGTATTTGATGTGGAAATTTTGGTTCGAGTTTTGGGTTGTGTGATTGGAAGAGAAGATATTGCGTGCCTTAGGTTGTACTGATTTATCTGTGTTTATTTCTTCCGATTGATATAAGCTCAAGGTTTATGAATGAGTCTCATAGGATAGGAGTGTCTTCTGTATTGGGTTTATTCGGTTGTTGTTGTTGTTGTTGTGACTTTATTTTAACTTCTCTTTTTTTTTTTCTGTGGTGGATTGGTTTCTAGTTTCCAGCAAAGAGGAAGTGGGTTCTCCTGAAGTTCCCTCTGTTACTCCTGTTGATTTGAACGATTTTTTCGATGGAGATGGAAAAATATATGGCTACCATGGTTTGAAGGTAGTTTTGGTCTTTTACAATTACAGTGTTCTTTGTTAAAATTTCTGGTTTTTGTTATTGTTGTGTTTAATGTTGCTGTCAATTTCAGATAAATGTATGGATCAATAGCATCTCATTGCATTCATATGCTGATATTACATACCAGAGCACAACCAATGTAAGTGTTTCGCTTACTTTTAATCCATTTGAATTTGCTTACGTTTTGTACTTTTAAGACTAAAAATATATATATCTTGGAGCATCATTTTCTGTTATCTTTTTGTTTATTCTTTCAAGGGAGTCAAAGGCATCACGGACCTCAAATCTGCTTTACAGGTAATTTAGTCAGCTTCAATGTCTCATCATAGTATCTAATGACCCCAGCATTATTCATATTCTTATGATTGACTACTTTTGAATTCCACCCAGAACATATTTGCTGAGACTATTGTTGATAGCAAGGATGAATTTCTGAAAACTTTTTCAACAGAAAAAGATTTTATCAGGTACACACCTAATGGATGCTTTCATACTTATCTTGTTCCTGTGTTTTCTAAGATGCACTTCTCACTATAGTCTTTGTGTATATTTGTTAAACTTTTGTCATTTGAGTTTTTTAGAAATATGGTCTCAAACGGAGAGGTAGTGCATTCTGGAATGATAGATGGAAGCAGCATTAATGCTCTAGTGGCTCCTTCAGATCTCCAGGTATCTGCTAATCTTCATGAAGCAAATTCGTCTGGGATGCTTTTATCAGCAGTAGAGCTGCAGATTTGTGCAAGTAAAAAAATATAATGGTCTATTTGCCTCAGGTTCTACGGTTGGAAATTGATTCTCCAAATGCTGGACTCCTCTATAGCCGTTTGGTGCCCCTTGTTCTTCTTTTTGTCGATGGTACGTGCACATGCACACATCCTTACTCCTGAACTTTTATGTTCTATTTCTAGTATTAACCAGACGCTGGTCCATTATATCAGGCAGCAACCCTATTGATGTCACTGATCCTGACTGGCATTTATATCTCTTAATTCAAAAGAAGGAACATAAAGAGGAGCCTTTATATCAAATCGTGGGCTTTACTGCAATTTATAAGTTTTACCGTTACCCCGACAGGTTAAGGATGCGACTCAGCCAGGTATAGTATATACAATACACCTCAATGTTCTCAGTTCGTCTTTCATTAATTTCAACTTGACTGTTTATGCTGTGTCTTTATTTTGATTTTAGATCCTTGTCCTGCCTACCTTCCAAGGAAAAGGTTTTGGAAGCTATCTCGTGGAGGTTGTAAACAAAGTGGCCATTGCAGAAAACGTTTACGATCTAACAGTAGAAGAGCCATCAGAAAAGTTCCAACACATTCGCACCTGCATAGATATAAACCGCTTGCGCGCATTCGACCCTATAAAACCAGACATTGATTCAGCTGTTGAGACTCTCACAAAAGGTAAGCTATCAAAGAAAGCTCAGATACCTCGATTCACTCCACCTCTGAATGCCATTGAGAAAGTCCGTGAAACGCTGAAGATCAACAAGAAACAGTTCCTTAAATGCTGGGAGATTTTGATATATCTCGCGCTTGATCCAATAGACAAATACATGGAGGAGTACTCTTCTGTTATCACGAACCATGTGAGAGCTGACATTCTTGGGAAAGACATAGAAGCTCCAAAGAAACAGGTCTTGGATGTTCCAACCCCGTATGCAGCTGAAGCATCGTTTGTGGTTTTCAAGTCTCTCAATGGAGAAGAAGGTGATAGTAAGGACACTGTTCAAGTTGATGAAAACAAACCGGAACAAGAACAGCAGCTTAAGCAATTAGTTGAAGAAAGGATTCGTGAGATTCAGTTGGTTGCTGAGAAAGTCTCAAAGCTAAGGATCTGATTCGAATAAAAACTTTGTGAGAGATTTTTGTCAGAATCTTCTTTTGTGGAGTGATGTCATCTTTTAAAAAAGACAATCTGTTTGTATTTGTACCGCTCTGTTATGGAGGTTTGAGTAAACTAAGGGGGTGTTAGTGGGAGTTATATTTATATAGAGTTTGTTGATTTTAAAAGTTGATGGATTTGTTAAATTTGGAAAGAGTTGTAGAGAGTTTTGTATATTGTAAAAATTTGTGAAAATAAATTGATATAATGATTCTAAGAATCTAAAGTACATAGGTAGTATTCTCAAAATCTTGTGTTATGAGTTAAATGATGAAGAATACAACTCCCAATAACACCAACTTTAATAGATTTAAAGAATCATTAAAATTTAAACTTTTTGAATAACAATGGATTGTGCATAGAGTTACTAAATCATCAAACCAATAACACTAAACTTTAATGAGAATCTAACAATCTATAAACCAATAACACTAGATTCTAAAATTCTGAGAATCATTATAAATTTTAGTCCCACTAACACCCCCTAATGTAGTTCCGGTTAATCGGTTTCTTCCGGTTATGACGTTATTAGCAGAATTTACAGTCGATAACCGTCAATTCCGGTACAGTCAGTTAAAATAAAAATGGAAACTTCCGTTTGATTTTAACCAAAAATCAGTATCCGGTTAAAGAAACCGGTACTGATCTTTTAGTAAAATAGATGAACAGAAACAGAGCTTCTTCCTCAAGCAAACATGGCGTACATGGTGTATGAGAGAAAAAGGAAGAAGACAAAATTATAAACTTTTCTGTTAAGATTAATGTGTGACTAAATGAGTCACTATATACATTTGATAAAGTTTATTGAACCGGAACAAACCGGGTGTACTCTGTACATTGAACTAAACCGAAATGTGACTGTAAAACCACTAATAAACCAATATTCCCCCTCAAAATGGAGTGAAAATATTGATGAACTCCATCTTGCTTAATATATGTCGGAAGGGTCCTGGATATAAAGGTTTAGTCAAGATGTCCGTAAGCTGATTTTCTGACCGAACATGAAGAGTCTTAATCATACCTGAGACAACACGTTCACGCACAACGTGACAGTCACGTTCAACATGCTTTGTACGTTCGTGATAGACTGCATTATTCGCAATATGAATGGCGGCAGTATTGTCGCAGTAAAGAGGTGCAGGACCAGTAGGGGCAATCCACAAGTCTTCAAGGAGATTTCTGAACCAAATCATTTCCCGAACAGCTTCTGACATTGCTCTGTATTCCGATTCTGCAGAAGAACAAGAAATTGTGTCTTGTTTGTTTGATTTCCAAGCAATGAGAGCAGAACCAACAAACATACACATTCCAGAGATGCTACGACGAGTATCAGGACAAGAACTCCAAGAAGCATCAGCAAAAGCAGAGAGACGCAAATCAGAAGTTGATGAGTAGAAAAGACCCTGGCCAACAGTGCCTTTTAGATAGTGAAGGACTTTATATGCAGCATGAAGGTGAGGGGCACGAGGAAGTGCAGTAAACTGACACAACTGGTGCACTGCAAAGGTGATATCGGGACGGGTAAATGTTAAATAGAGTAGCTTCCAAATCAATCGACGATATACCTTAGGATTCGTCAAGAGAACACCAACATCTGCTGAGAGTTTAACACTTGGATCCATAGGTATAGAAACTAGTTTGCATCCAAGGAGTCCAGTTTCAGTCAAGAGGTCCAAAACGTATTTTCGCTGACACAAAGTAATACCAGCAAAAGAACGAGCAACCTCGAGTCCCAAGAAATAACGTAGAGTGCCCAAATCTCTGAGTTTAAAGGAAGCTTCAAGAGCTGTCTTCAGCAAAGCCGTGGCATGATCACAACTACTGGCAATTATTATGTCATCAACATAGACTAAAACAGCCATGTAAACATTGCCAGAGTTCTTGAGGAACAAAGTGTGATCACCAGAAGAAGTTACGAAGCCCAACTGATGCAGAGAAGCAGAGAACTTCAAAAACCACTGTCTTGAAGCTTGTTTGAGTCCGTAGAGGGACTTCTTGAGCTTGCAGACTGCATTTGGTGGAAAAGATTCCCCCTGTCTTGGAGAGTAGCCAGGTGGAAGAGTCATGTATATTTCTTCCTTCAAATCCCCATTGAGGAAGGCATTTGAAATGTCAAGTTGTGTGAGCGACCATCCTTTTGCAGCTGAGACAGCAATAAGAAGTTTAACAGTAGCTAATTTAGCCACAGGTGAGAAAGTTTCAACATAGTCTAAGCCCTCTTGCTGTGTATACCCCTTTGCAACAAGTCTAGCTTTGTATCTCTCAAGAGTCCCATCGGCATTGAGCTTGATTTTGTATACCCACTTGCAACCCACTGCTTTCTTTCCTTATGGAAGTGAACATACAGCCCAAGTACCATTATCTTCTAGAGCAGTAATCTCTATACCCATCACAGCACACCATTCCTTTATCTTACATGCTTGTGTGTAAGAAGAAGGTTCAGGAATGCTATTAAGAGCGTTGATGAAGATCATATAAGGTTCTGAAAGGGCAGCATAAGACACAAAGTTAGAGATAGGATGTTCCGTAGATGACACGGCAGAGGAGCAGTGATAGTCTTGAAGGTGACGTGGTGGTTTAGAGACCCTTTTTCGTAGAAGAAGAGGACTCAAGTGGAAACACTGGAGGAACAGAACAAGATGCAGGCTCAACTGATTCTGTAGGGACAGCAACGCGAGGAAAGAAATCTGCATAGCCAGTAGGTAGAGATTGTTTGAGAAAAGGGAACAATGTCTCATGAAACACCACATTCCTGGAAATGAAGACAGTATTGCTTTCCAAGTCAAGAAGTTTATAGCCTTTGTATCATGTGGAATACCCAAGAAACACACATGCACGAGCTCTATCTTGAAACTTGTGGCGTTGTTTAGGAGATGTACTTGCATAACAAAGGCAACCAAATGTCTTGAGATTAGAGTAATCTGGAAGTTTATCATGAAGCATCTCATATGGGGTTTTGTTTGAAAGAACCTTGGATGGTGTTTTGTTAATAAGGAAAACGGATGTAAGCACACAATCTCCCCACAAGCTCAGTGGAACACCGGATTGAAACATCAATGCACGAGCGACATTGAGTATGTGCTGGTGTTTTCTTTCAACGACGGAGTTCTGCTCGGGAGTCTCTGCACAAGAGTGATAAGAGACGATGCCCTTTGCTTTGTATAGATCTTCAAAACGTAACTCTGGTGCATTATCCGAACGTACTGACTTAACTCGAGTGGAATACTGGTTCTCAACCATCTGAATGAAGTCTGGAAAGACAGTAAGGACGTCACTCTTCAGACGAAGTAAATAAATCCATGTCGCTCTTGTGTGATCGTCAACTATGGTAAGGAAGTAACGATAACCCTCTTGAGTTGGCTCAGAAAAGGGGCCCCAGACATCAATATGAAGTAAATCAAAAGGATGAGGACAAATCTTTGGATTCAAGATGAAAGAAAGCTTCTTTTGTTTAGCACGATGGCAAATATCACAGTGCAAAGATCCTTTATTTTTAGCTTTCGAAAATCTAAGTACATCACTGAGAAGCTCAAGTCTTTTGAAAGAAGTATGACCAAAACGTTGATGCCAAACAGAAGCATCAACAACAGCATTCGAGTGAAAAACAAATGAATTCAAAACTGCAGATTCTCCTTCTTCGAGGTCCAGAACGTACAAGTTTGCCACTCTTCTACCTCTGCCAATCATCGACCCCTTGATAGGATCCTGTATTTCAAAACATCCAGAGTCAAAGATCACACGAGCACCAAGGTCAGAAGTCAAACAACTGATGCTTAGAAGGTTCAAACGGAATTCTGGTATGAACAGAACATTCTGTAAGGTCAGTGTTTTAGTGAGAATTATCTTGCCCACTCCACCCACTTTAATAGAGGAACCATGAGGGAGATTCACAAGAGGATGTACCGAGGTGTCAAGAGTAGAAAAGGAACTACGATCATGGGAAACATGATGAGTAGCACCGGAATCAATAATCCAAGTTTGTTGGTCAGTAACACAGTTTGCAAAACTTAAGAGACCAACAAAGCTAAACGTTGAGGTGGAGAAAGAAATACTAGTGTGATCATGTTGCTGAACAGCAGAAACGGAAGCAGAGTCAGAAGGCTTAATCTGTAGCTGAGAGCTGAAGTAAGCGATGAAATTCTGAATCTGATCCTTGTTCAACTGACCCACGAGATTATCGAAGCCATTAACCGGGGAGGGATGAGCTGTTACATTAGCGGTGGACTTGGTCTTATCATGAACTGGTTTCCCTTTCTTCCAACCAACGGGGTATCCATGAAGTTTGTAACAACGGTCAGTGACGTGACTAGTATTACCACAGTGAGAACAAATGGCACTTGGTTTCTTGTGGATCGCATTCAGCGAGCCACCAGATTGTGTGTCATTATTATCACGAGTAGGAGTGTTAGCATTCGAAGACTGTACCGAGGACTGAGTACTCTCAGAACCAACATGGAAAGCAGCAAGAGCAATCACAGAGTTAAACTGGCGCTGGCTATCATCCTGATCAAGTATATTGCAAATCTCAGCAAGATCAGGCAGAGGTTTCTTCATGATTATTTGGCTACGGATGATTGAATACTTCTCATTCAACCCAGACAGAAACTTTATGATTCTACTCCTCTCTATTTTCGCTTTAGCAGAACGCTGACTAACGCAGTTAAAAGTGTTGCAACACAAACACATCTCTGGAGGTTCAGCACCATCAAGATTATCCCAGAGAGTTTTGAGAGCTGTGTAGTAGCCAGAGGGTCCATAGAGCCTTGGCGAAGGTCTTGGATCTGTTGTATCAGCTGAAAAGTACGAGGTAAGTTGGTCTTATGGAAACGATTGTACAAATCTTTCCAAATCTCAGTGGCATCATCGAAGGACAAGATACTACCGTAGATCTGTTTTGTCACAGAGTTGAGCAGCCATGACTTGACCATGCTGTTGCAACGAGACCAAATACGTAACAAAGGATCACCGACGTTAGGACGGGGAAGAGAGCCATCGACAAAAGCTATTTTATTCTTCGCATCGAGAGCAATCTTCATGGCAGAACACCATTGGGTGTAGTTGGATCCATCCAGCTGTACGGAGACAATCTGCAAGCCTGGATGATCCGCGTGATGAAGGAACAGCGGAGAGTGAACGTTGTCGGGGTTCATCGCAGCGGCG